CTGAAGTTTTGTTGATGTTTTGTCCTTCATCCTAAGGACTTCATCAGCCTGAAGTTTTGTTCAGATGTTTCGTTCTTCATCCAAAGGACTTCATCAGACTGAGGTTTTGTTGAGACATTTCATCCTTCATCTAAAGGGTGAAGGACGAAACATTTCAACAAAAAAAGAAACAGTCTAGATGACCTGACTGAACTTTGTTGGATTTTTTTACCTGGATTATTGAGCATGAACTTTGATGTTTTGAAGCACTTTGGCTATGGCTGCCTCAGAGGAGTTGACAGGGAAAAGGGCGGGCCCCAGAAACCATTTTATCACCAGCAAACTGGTTGGTTCCCCATGGGAGTGTACTGCTTGTGGGACTGATTTTGTTTGTGGCTCCTCGAACTGATGAAGTCCTTTGGATGAAGGATGAAACATCTCAACAACAAACAAAAAAAAGAAACCGTCCAGATGACCTGACTGAACGATGTTGGATTTTTTTTTACCTGGATTATTGAGCATGAACTTTGTTAAAATGGTTCCTAGTTTATGAACGTTTTTGTTTTTTAAAGGGATGTACAAGAATGCACCTCCATTGACAAACTGGTGGTGATAATGTGCTTTAGGTGGCACTGTTTAAAAAAAAAAAAAAAAATGGAAAAAATGCATAGAGGCACTGTAATAGACTAATAAAAATAATAATAGCAAAGAATGCATGTCCTCCAAAAATAAAATCCCAGAATAAGCACCAAATGCTCATAAAAACAATTTGGCAAATTAAAAACACTGAGACAAGTTCAGATGACAAAAACATTTCAAAGTGTGAATATTACTGAAAGACTAGTAAACTTCTTTAAATTGCTTCTTTTTACAGCAGTAAGGCTTAATATTTGTATGCAGTCTATGCATGTAGATTCCCTTAAACATCAGTTACATGCAATAACATGTATAAAATCATAACATATATTGCTACAGCACAAAATAGCCAGGTTATGGTGTACAGCATAATGTGCGAATCCAAACCGTGTACGTTCGATAGTAACTTCCAGTGCTTCCAGTCTGCACTGCTGCGCAGCACTAGAAAGCACCAGGAACGTATGTGTTGGACTGGAGAAGAGCTATAAACTCCTGCTTCTTCTTTATCTGTCCCATCAACTTGATGCTCATGACAAGTAAAATAATCTGGAGGACAGAAGCAGAAATAAAAAGTTAAGCACAGCACCAGCTGGTGGGGTATCAGATGTACTGTAATCAATACGTACCCAGAATACTGCACTTCCAAACTGTATGGCCATCACCAAGAAGAATGCCAGCTTCAGCTCGGAAACATAAATCGGGAGGCAGGGCTGCGGAAAAAGAGAGGACAGACACATGAAGGGCTTAAGACGGCGGTGCAAACAGGATATTGATCTTGTAGTTAATTTGTCTTCCTCTGTGTCAGATTACACCTGCTGTGGTACACCTGTTACTTAGACCTGTTCAACAACTGGGAAAGCTATCAGAGATTCAACAACACTGATTAAAAAAAAAGACAGAGCAGTGGATTTCTGGGCAAAAATGATTTGATAGCAAAAGTAACAGAAAAAATCTCTTTATCGATGGATGAGCAAAGGTGAGTTGGTTTTTAAAACCAAGGTATATAGAAGAAAATTACAGTCATTATCTGTCATGGTTTGTGTTTTGGTCTGTTTAGTTTATCCCTGTTTGATTTTGTGTTTCATAGACCCGGATTGACGTTGGTTCTTTTTACAGAACATACACCTTTCTACGTTAACAAAGGAAACTGAAGCCAGCAGGAACCAGTTTATGTTTTTTCTCGTTATATTAAATACATATTACATAATAATAACTTATTAAATGTGTAGGAAAATTAACATTTGTACATACAACTGTTTGGTAGGGACTATGTGTATCAATAAGAGTCAAAACTTGGAAAATATTAGTATTATTTGTACTTTTTCATATTATTGAAGACGATGTTCCGTTTGATTTTGTGAAATAGAAACTTGTACTGGAACCAGCCTGCAGGAAGGTTGGTCCTGTTCCAGACATCCTAAATCGGCTTCCTGCTTTTCTGGATTAAGTCCAGTAAAGCAAGAAGATAAAAAGGAAGCCACTAAATGCTAAAAATTACAACTAAAATCATTGTCTCATCTCATTTAATTTCCGTAGTCCCAATTCGTGCTGTGACATAAAGCTACAGGGTCATTATTTGGTCCCTACAACACAAAAAGGGGAATACTTCCTAAGCCATGTTTCAATACATTAGATTAACAGTGTTGTTTAGTGGGAAACTATCTGTTTATCTAATTTATTTCATACTTTTGTACATATAATGTGCTCATTTTGTCCTCACATAAACCTGCCAGGTCAAAAAACGCATAATCTCCAATAGCTTTCTTAACTAGACAATGACCTTGATGCATTTAAATGACTTTCAAGGCCATGTTTGATTCAAAATGTTCCAGGCTTTTATGGTTAATTATTTAATATTAGAGTTTCTTACCGCTCGATAAACATACTGGTTCTTCGGGGCTCCGAGCGTAGCACTACCCCGTAGTCGAACCTATTTGACGAAAAAAAAATTCAGACGAAATAATCCATTCAAACACAATTACAACTATTTTTTTCCCCAATACTCTTGTTTACTTTCATAGTTTGGGCTAACATTCATCAGTTGTAGCATATTGCTAACTACAAGTGTTATATGCAACCTCTATTTAGCTTTTAAGATAAATATTACAATCTGGTTTGTACAAAAATAACAGCCTGACATTCGTGACCAAATCACTGAAAACAAATAGAAATAGTCTTAAAGACTGACGGTCATATGACGTTATAAAAATATTGACCACAATGCTAATTCTGTATAAATAAGCCAAAGTACTGACGCATTTTCCTGGATAATGACAGTTACAGGAGGCAGGGATGGAGGCGCCCCAGTCCTTGTAGCCTTCAATAAGACCGCAGCATTCAAACTAGAGATGACATGAGAAACATTACATTTAAAACAGTGTCACATAATCAAAAACAAGTATAATATCTAAAAAAAAAAAGTTCTTCAAAGCACAAGTTGACATACAGTACTGTTTTTCTAAGCGTAAATGATCTTTTTAAATATCCTGATGCTTGCTCAGTAATCCAGGTAGATAAATCTGATAAGGTTGAGTCAGGTCGTCTGGACGCATTCTTCTTGTTGAAACGTTTTGTCTTTTATCCAAAAGACCATCAGTCTCAGGAGCTGCAACAAACAGTCTTATAGTACCTTCTTATAGTAGATCACAGTTTGCTGGTGATGGCCAAAACTAGTTGTTCACATGCAAAGGGAGGACCATCAGCAATTGATCATTAGTGCCTTGATGGACGCTTCCTATTCACAGAGGGCTGAGTGATACTCACACAGCATTGTAAGAGGGGGGCAGTTGAACACAGAGCCCTCCGCACCTGTCTAATGATGGGTGGGTTCTCTTCACAAAGACGGCTTCCTTTAAGGGCCCGACATACTCCATCTGAAGTGCTGAAATCAGCTCTCATTGTCGTAGTTGTGAGACAAAAATTGAGTCATTTTGTTTGCAGATCCTTCTCGACACAAGGCCCAGGCCAAACTTTTTCTCACAGGCATATGTGCCAAAAATTGTATGACTGGTCAGGAGTTTGTGTGTGTTTGTCAATGTGGAAATGCGCTCAGACATTTAGCTTTACAACTCTTTAAACACACTAAATTAGACAAATGGCCAAAATCTCCTGGTTGGAGATCACGCAGACACTGTGTATGGTCTGTCTGCTGAAAAGTGTGGCAATTTGTTCATGATAGATGTGTGGCCAAACGGTGGTTGCAGGGATGGAGTGGAGACTCTGGCTGGGAAGAACCCCATGTGGTGGCGTATACTTCAGCCAGAGGGTTTTCCCAGGAGCCTTGCATCCGTGTCTTGTGGACTACGAAAAGTGTGTGTAAAAACGAATGTCTCGCAATCTTGTGACTGCGTGTCGACTGTTCGGCTTCGGATGGAATATGCTCCATGGGATTAACCTGGCTAAATAAAGGTTGAATGAATGGTGGGCCCTTTACTCCTCGCTCAAACCAACATTCAGTGGCGTTGGAAGCATTTGTAACATGGGGGGAGGGAGGAGACACACACTGGTGGGGAGATCTGGAGGTCTTCCCCCAGACAATTTTGAATAAAGTAGATGCCATTTCCTGCATTCTGGTGTATTTTAATGTGTTGTTCAACATCTATGTTTACCTACATATGTAAACATTTGATTCAATAAATATTTTCAAGAGCACGGCACAAGAAGTAGCCTGACCAACAGCTCTCCTTGTGTGAATAGAGCACGCTCCGCTTCTCTCATGCATCCTAAGACCCCCACGCCTAGTCGACAACTGCCGGCACTTACATAGCGCTAAGCTAGCGTGCAACACAGAGGTGTCTTCCCCTCCTCCCCCCACCCTGTCTATTAAAAAAAACCTGAAGAGATGAGCACCCTGCCAAAGCAAGTGACCTTGAGGAAACGGTGCATGTGGGCGAGTTGATGTAGGTAACCAGGAAAACCAGAAGTGGATTTTTAGTGGTTTGAGCATTCTCCTATTAATCAAGTGTTATGAATTCATCCACGAAGCAATAGAAAGTGTGCTGGGTGAATTAATATTTCATGGTAAATGTAGGGGGATCCAAATTAATATTTTTTAAATGTAAGGGGGACACGTCCCCTTCACATATAATTAATGCAACATCTATGCCAGTGCTCCTCAATTATTTCTCTTATGCCCCCCCCCCCAAGAAGAAGTAAACATTTCGCCCCCCCCCCAACTCTCCGCGGCGACTCTAAATAGTATGTCTATAAAATTGTTATAAGTACACCTCTACCTAACATTGTGTCCTTATTAACATTAAAGGCAAAAAAGAACATAGATCAACTTACAAGGAAGAATTAACATTGCTTTTTTAGTCTGTATCAATTTGCCTAAAAAAAAATTCTTTTTTAAACTGTAAACATTTTGTACCATTTGATTCTGAAAAATAAAATTAAATATAATCAATAAATAATAATAAATTCAAATTGATCAGCAACATTTTAACTCAGGAGAGTTATATAAAACACTTTGACCTACAAAACAAAAAATAATAAAACAATTTATGCAGATTTTTTAATAATCAAAATGAGGAAGTCAGGATCAATGAGCACATTCATCGATAAAACAAACAAAAAAAATTGTCAACGCGAAAGAGGAAGGAGGGGGCAGGTAACCCTCTTGTTTTGAGTTACTCTTTGTCGCCTGCGTGCTGTGAGTGACAAGCGTCCAGAGCATCATAAAAACAGCAGCTTAACTGAGGAGGTGAATTAATTTTGTTAGCAAAGAATCAAGTCCTAACATTTATTAAACATTACTTCTGTAAATTGTGCTTTGACAAACTCATCAATAAAACTAAAACATTTAGTCAACGCAAAAGAGGAAAGGGAGGGCAGGTGTCGCTCTCGCTTGAGTTTACTCTTTTTTGCATGCGAGCTGTGAGTGACGTCCAGAGCGCGTGGACATAAAAACAGCAGCAGAGGACTGAGGAGGTGACGGTCGGAGTTCATTTATCGCGTCAGCCGCAGAGGGGAGAGACACGGGTCATGCATGGCTCCCAAAATGACAAGGCAGCCATATTTGTTCATAACTTATTAGGAACGCACACGACAAAGTGAGAATGGTGAAAAAAAACTACTCCCTGCAGCAAAAAAAAAGCATGTTTTCTAGGGTCACATGCACCCCCCTGGCATTGCCCCGGGCCCCCCCCAGGGGGGCGAGCCCCACTATTTGAGAAGGACTGGTCTATGCCAACATTCCCCTTGTTCTCTTGGCATCCTTTTCAGGGACACCAACGAGTCATTGGTATGTTGATGACACCTGGGTTAAAATTAAATCTCAGGAAGTCCAATGTTTCACTCATCACATCAACTCTGTGGATAAATATATAAAGTTCACACAAGAAGATCTAAAAGATGTCAGGTTGGCTTTCTTGGACTGTGAGGGCTCAGTCTCTGATGGAGGGCATTTGAAAACTGAGGTGTACCGCAAAACCCACCCACACAGACCAGGACATGTGTTTTGACTACCATCACCTGCTGGAGCACAAGCTAGGAGTCATCAGGACTCTTTAACACAAAGCAGACATTTTGTTTATGAGCAAATACAAGAAAATTCCTTACAGTATGAAATCAGCAAAGTAGTTTAGCTTACACAAAGATCTGAATTCAGAATATAGGTTTTTATTTATGCTAAATTAGGAGTTAGTTTAAACTGACTGGAAAAAGATTATATGTCGGAATGTCTTTCTACCAAGTTACAGTATTTTGTCTGTTTACGTTCCTTCACCCTTTGACCGTTTAAACAGTTGCGTAGCTCAACACGTCAAAACATAAGTGGCTGACAGCTGGAAATCCTTCTTTAGCTGGCTCAGCTTGGAATGTAATTGTTTCTGTGTCCATGTCAGAGAGCCGGGGTTCATGCTGAAGGGACAGCACTGTTAAGATACAATTTGAAGGTGTTTGTTCATTTTGGATGTAAGGGCCATATCTCTGCCTTTGCAAGAATTGTTCATACATTTTGTCAAACTTCAATCCTGGACTCCTAAGTGACTATTTCAGAGAATGTTTCACATAAGTCTGTATTATATGTTACCACACGGGGGTAGTGTCAGACTAAGCAAAGCAGTGGTGGCTAAGCCTGGTCCTTTATTTGCTTTCACACACCTGCTTTGAATGAATGAGTGATTAAGAGAACTTGAAGTCATGCTAAAGATCAGTTTAAATGCATTGTTAATGTTTTACAATAAAACTAAATCTGAGTGGGATTTTCTTGAATGACAGCAAAAGTAAAACTGAAACGTACTCATGAACTTTACCCTGCATTATCTCTAAATGTTTAGTTTTGTTTTTAGTGCTTCCATTTCTTCTCTGTCTGCCTGACCTCAAAGTGTGGAAGTTGAACCCATGAGTTAAGGTAAAAAGGTACATTTATATACGCTTTAAGGCCGTCACTCTAAACCAGGGGTCTGCAACCTTTATGATCAAAAGAGGCATTTTTACACCTTCATTCACTAAATTAAATGTGTCTTGAGCCGAAACACCCTGCTACAACTGTGATTATCAACTGGTGGCCCATGGGCCACTTTAGGTTTGTTGGAGGAGATGCTCGCGGCCAGTAGAGGTGACATTATAAAGCTAAAAATATCTAACAATTTTTAACATTTATTGAGATTTTTACAGTTTAAGACAAATGAAAAAACAGATTCTTGTAAAAAGGGGAGGAGTGTGTGTGTGTGTGTGTGTGGGGGGGGGTAGTTTTTTAAAATAAATCAAAAATACTATGAACTGTGCAGACCAGTGATTTTTTATGTGGAAAAAATAATTAAGTATAGAAATAAAGCAAAAAGTTAAAGTAAGTACCGTATTTTTTGGCCAATAAGTCACAGTTTTTTGCATAATTTGAATGCCCTGCGACTTATACACAGAAGAGACTCATTTATGTTTTTAGCTGCGATATGACCGTTTTCATTCATTCTGACTGAAAATATTGAACACTACCATTTTCAACTGCTAGATGGCACTCGAGTAGTATGGCATGTCGTTGTGTCATGTAATAGGTAAAACTGGCTATTAATGACACAATCAGCTTTCCACAGAAAGCCACCTTTGTCCAGCTCTGGGATCTTACCTGGAGCAACCGTCAAATCAGCTTCATTTCTCTGCACCGCCCCGGCAAAATGCAGCTGATTTTACCATTGAAGTGCATTTATTAAGTAAAAGTTCAACTGAGACACACCTTTGCTATAATTTAGAGCAAACAAATAATTGTTTTAGGTACTTATCTTGTTAAATTTCGAAGAAATGCGCAGAGTTCCTCCTTCCTGATTTCCTCCCTGTCTGCGTGCTCCCGGAGCAGTGAGGCAGCAAATACTTTTGAAATGCAGCTGATTTGACCGTTAAAGTGGATTTATTAAGGAAAAGTTAGACTGAGACACAGCTTTACTATAATTTCGAGCAAACAAATAATTGTTTGTAAGTGTTACTCTTGTTAAATTCTTGTTAAAAGTCCTCCTGTGCGTGCTCCCATTTGGCAGCCAATCAATTTTTGGCACAACACCGGTCCACATTTCTGGATTGTTAGCGGCGACGCAAAATAGATGCGATTTATATGGCGACGTGTACGGCAAAAACTACGGTATTTGCAAAAGAAATGACAGGAAAACAGCTAAAACTAGTACTTTTATTGTTGTTTGTATAACAACCAATGAAATTCAGTTTTATATTACCGGTAGTTTTGGTCAAAGCTTGAAAGAGCTGCTGCAGAAGAATCAAAGAGCCTCAGGTTGCAGACCCCTGCTCTAAACCAACATCACACACAGTTAACACTGTGAATCATCTGTTCTTCATCATTTCTGTGAGATACGCTTTGTTATGTTGTTTATTTGTCATATGCACGCTAACACAAGGTCAACAATGCAATGAAATGCTCAGGGTGAGAAGAACTGATTTAACTCGCTTAAAAACAAACAAAAAAAAACAAAACAAGAAATGCTAAAGCATAAGGATACCAAAATGTGAAAAAGAAAATTTATATTTACTAAGTCCAAACGAAATATAGTAAACAACAACATGGTTGAATATAACAGTGCAAGCAGGATGAATTTGAATAAATAAGTATTTCACAGGTAGCAATATACTGTAAGCTTAAATGCAAATGATAAATATAAATATATATATATATATATATATATATATATATATATTGCACATAGCATAAACTGCACAGGTTGTGTGACAGTGAGATTAACTGAATTATGATAAGGTAGTGACATTTAATAGAGATGCTTTAATGCCAATGTTAAAATTAAATAAAAAAATTACGAAGTGACATGCCTACTTCATATGATAAAAAATAAATAAGAGACAATTGTGTATTCTTGGCAAAACAAAGCTACTATTTGCCACAGTATTTCTGTCCTCCATATCCATTTCAAGAGTTGAGTTGCATTTCAAGAGGATTGATTTTTCAGGTCATGTGACAAGCTTTTTGTTGCTAACGTATGCCTGGTCGTGCCTCCTGCATTAAACGCACATCGAGAACACGAGAAGCTCAGAGCGAGGAAGTTCTGCGCCTTGATGCACAGTTTAAGATGCATTTTGTTATTGCAACGAAACCAAACACTTTTCATTTCGCAGTTTTGACTGCTCCAACCACACTTGTGCCTCTCTTTGCATGAATGTCCTTGCAGAGAAAAACAAAGATGCAAGAAAAATTAAAAAAACAGGAATCAAATTACAGTAAAATTAAAGAAGCTCTGCTAGGGAAATGAAAGGGGACTGTGTGGTGCTGTTTTACTAAAGTTCCTGTTTATGTCATAATATAAATCTTTAAATTGTGGCGCAACAGTTACATTTAAATTTGTTTTTTCCTAAAAATAAAATTATATTTTAGGAGAGGAATGTGTGTAAAAAAAACATATACAGGTTCTTAATGTTTTTGCATTAAAAAAGTAAAACGGATGAAGAAAGCATCAATAATTGCTGCTTACTTCCTCCTGGATATTATGAAGCAACGTCCTGTTGCCTTTGCTGGGTCCACTGAGCGGCATCATGGCCAGCAGCTTGGACTCATCGCGCACAACACGTTTCTAAAGAGAGAGACACATCACACTTGAACATTTTCTACAGGAAGAATAACAAAACCTGAGTCACTCCAGTACCGTACCTCATAGACATCTTGGTAACTCAGCGCTGTTCTAATAATAATCGTTTGACTGACTGCTGCCATCCCTGCTGCATACTGTACACATGAACAGAGAAAAATCTAGTTACACATATTCCCAGAGTCCCACAGTAGTAAAAACTGCGTTTTTTTTTTGTTGTTTTTTTACCAGAATCAAACACCATCTCTTTCCTTTGCAAGCTCCGAACACGCCGAGCACTGAGAGTAGCAGGCAGCCAACCTCGATGGCGTACATCATCGCTACAGGAATACTGGGCACCATCTAAAGAGCAAAATCCCATCCGAGTTAAACTGATACAAATGCAAAATACTAGGGTTTGACTAAGCTGCTGTGCTTTGATCAGCCTGCAGAAACCAGCTGTCTGAAGTTAGCCTAATGTTTTACCAAAGGGCACTTCAGTAGGAACATTGTTTCCAAAAAAAATACAATATAAAAATGTGCTGCTGTGGTGCATTCAAGGGACATTTATGGAAGTGGTCATTAATAATTTCTCAGCTGCCTCCGATATATCGCATCTGCTTCTGAAAGTGTGTTTGTCCAGTCAGAAAAATGTCCAAATCTTACTTTGCCAGTTTGCAGCAGGTCTCCGTGCCAAATTACAGTCATTTTCAGCATGAAGAAGCACAACGCCTGAAGGACAAGAACACAAGAACTTAGTGAGTTTGCAAATTATAAAGCATACAAAATAAGTGTTTATGGCTATAATTAAACAAGTTAATTTAATAAATGTGTAAGCTTTTTAACACTCTTAAAGGAACAGGGACATATTTTTGAATAAAATGTAATTTTTTTTCCTTCTTCTTTCGGCTGCTCCCTTCATCAGGGGTCACCACAGCGAACTACGTCGCACAAAGACTTGGCAATTATTTTCAGGCCAGATGTTCTTCCTGACGCAACCACAGACCACCGAGCTACCGCAGCCCTCTGCGTGGAGCAGAGAGCTGCCATCTAGGGTGCCCAGGGGAGCAGATGGTGGGGGTTAAGGGCCTTGCTCGAGGGTCCAGTGGGGCAAATGAGGGTGGAGACAGATGGGGGTGCTTCACCAATCCCACCTACATTTTGATGCTGTCCATACCGGGAGTTGAACCAGCGATCCTATCACAGGCCCACCTTCTCTAACCTCTGCGCCACCACTCCCCTATTTTTAGCACAATAAATAAATCATGCCTTTTGTGATTATAACCCTTAAAGCTCATGAAGTGGTGAAGGTGGACTTCAGCTGCCCGATGATTCTAAAGTCCTAGCTACGGCCATGCTAATGCTCATAAATATTTTGAGCTTTTTATTTTGAATACAATGTAAATATTATGTAATTATATTACCATTATTTTTATAATTATGTAATAATTGTGCACTATTAAGCAGTGAAGTGACATTATGGTACAAAAAAAAAAAAAAAGGTTTAGCATTAGACACTTATAAAACAATATTTACTAAAAAGAAGAAAAAAAACATGGAAGTATCACATGACCAGAAGTAAGACTAAACATAATTAATAAAATTTCATACAGCTAATAGAAAATTATCTGGTGTATAGCTGGCAGTAGGACTTATATGAGGCTGAATGCTAATTTTAGAGTGAATATTAGCATCATAACAAACAGGCCTTTATGGTTAAATTAAATGATTATGCTTTACCTACCATATGTACAGCGTTAGCAAAAACAAACGGCCTTTTCAGGCTCGTTTTATCCGCCACCACGACCACCGAGCTCTTCTGCATGTTTGCGCTCTGCTGCCCTTTCAGGCTTAAATTAAAAACACCTTTTTCACATAAAGAAATCAAGAAAGCAGCGCAGCGCCGGAGGAGGCAGCGAGGACATGTATCTGCTGTCTCCGCACGTGACGTCACAGAGATGCACTGGATGCGAGTCCCGCGTTGCCTTCAGGGCCGCTCGGAAATATAGTTTTCACCATGTGATTAGCGCGATTTGTGAGCATTAGCATGGCCGTAGCTAAAATTTTAGAATCATCGGGCGACTGGAGTCCACCTTCATCACTTTATGAGCTTAAAGGGTTATAATCCCTAAATGCATGATTTATTTATTGTGCTAAAAAGCTTTATGTTTCTGTAATATTCTTTGTGAACTTGTGTGTCAAAAAATAAAATACATTTAATTTTAAAAGCTTATAAATCAAATAGAAGTTGCTTACCTGCCTCTATATTAAACTGTATTTTGCCTTTCTTGTGCATCTCTTTAATAATAAAAAAAAAAACCCCTCTCTTTTCACTTCAGCATCACTTATGGGGGGGGGGGGGGGGGGGGGTGTCTCTGGATTTAGCATTCAAACCAAGCATTTGCTGGTATGAGTCATAATCCAGCACACTTGGTATTCCACACATGTGAAGCAAACTTCTCTTTTTTCGTTTACGAGTCCCAAGGCATGCACAAATTGACGGACTATATAAAATTGTAGCTCAAATCTTGAGGTTTTGAGAAATTCTAAATGCGTGTAATGAGTTGAATTTAGCTCTAATGAACTGATGCTATAACCACGTGTGAAACTAGCATTTTGTTAAGAAAAACATTATGATTTTTTTAAAAGGAGGTTAAAGGTCGCATCATCTGGATATACAAAGTGTTGTACAACAGTTGCTTTAACTACAAGTCCTTCAAATGGATCATAAGCTAATTTTCTCATTTTTGTGTAGGATTTACAAATTTGGGCCTTTTATTTAATTTATTTTTGTATCTACAAATGATGCATAAAACAGTTCAACAAGCATTTTTTTTACTCATAAAAGTAATAATTGTAAAGATTACTGGACAGTCTGAAAATTTTTAAGAACTGCTGCTGAGGAAAACGTTTAAAGTGAACTAAAACAATAAAGAATAAGGTGTTGTCCAAGGCTTTTTAACAGCTCTGCCCATCCCTCTACTGAAACTCTCTCTTTGCCCAACCCAGTTCACCTTCATCACCACAGAAACTGTAAATCAAATAAGAGGAAAAATTACAAACTCAGCCACCACTTTTCTACTATTTCTACGATGATTAAAATTTGTAAAGGGAAAAACACAAAATAAGGATAAGTTTCATGTTAAAGTTTTAATCAAAAAGTCTTGCGCAATGAGTACCATTTAGATTATGTGTTGGGAATGATTCGCAGCTACTGACACACCAAATTTTTGTCAGTATTTGTAATAATGAGTGAGTTATTGACAGTTTTGTGTCTTTTAAAGTCAATTGTCTGTGGCAGCCACCTTGAAGTGGGTTGACTTCAGAAGTTGCCAAGTTGTAGCGCTACATTCAGTGATCACAATTGACAAGCTTTATTTAAATCATCCGGTGGTTCATGAGATAATTTGGTAACAAACTCTAAAACGCACCAAGGCATGGGCAAACACACTATTACCCGCCTTAAAAGCGTTAATAACCTTGCAATTACGATAAATGTACTTTCTTTGGCTCATCTAACAGCCCTTGACTGCCATTGTTCTTGAAGATGATTAAGAGGTCAATTATTTTTAAAACAGACTGCAGTTCCCAGAATGCAACAGCAGCCATAAGGCTGGGCAGCAGAGGAAATACAGGTGGGGCGAGTTTCTATTGTTACCACAGGTGGTGGGAAGAGAAAAAAAAAGTCAAGTCTGCCAGAACAGGAAAAACAGACGGGAGAAAAGATGCAGAAACAAAAGGAAGGAGCAACTCAAAGAGCCTGACACGGCAGACATCTTTCAACTCTAATTTACAGGAATATTTTGTTTTTATTTTCATCAACTCACCTGTGCAGGAGGACTAAAAAGAATGGCACGTGTTTTCACTCTGTAAAGTGGGTCAACACCTGAGAAGGAGCTGAAAGGAGAAGCAGAACTGAGGCAGTTTTGTTTCACTGAGAGAAGACGAGAGACGAGGGAGACTGAATTATCTGGGGACAAAATAAGCAAGAAAAAATGCTGAATACGAAAGAAAGTCCTCTGGTTTTAGCAGATTTATGCAGAAACTACTGACTTCTATTTGCAATATGCATGTTCAGGACGTTTTAAAGCTTAAAGAAATTTATTTTGAGATGGTAAACAGAATTTCTTGAGCTTTTATTACTTTTTTAACACCCTGACAGAATTTCTTGAGGTTGTTTTGTGCTACATGTGGAGTAATTTAAGTATATTTGCTTTAAGGGTCAATATACAACCTGCTGAGCAAGTGTCACTCAAACCAGAATATATAATATTATATAATTTTGGGCTCTTCTATTCACTCAAAACAATAATCCATCATCTTCTGGCCTCAAAGGTCAAACATTCTAAGTGATCTAAAGGTGCAGCCCGAGGATCATTTCCTTCGCTCACTCAGAAAACGCCACACGCTCCTACCATGCAGGCACCTGGACCCGACCACGATGACACGTTTGACTTCCTGTTTAAGATCATCCTCATTGGAGACACCAACGTAGGCAAGACCTGCGTGGTCCAGAATTTTAAGTCAGGAATTTTTGCCGAGAGGCAACAGAACACCATCGGGGTGGATTTCACTGTGAGAACTGTGAACATCGAAGGGAAGAAAGTGAAGGTAAGTGCTCCGCACGGTTGTGTTTTGTATATTTATGTGTATATCTGTGTGCATGTAGATTAAATGAGGGGCTAATTATATAAATGTTGAGCACTGGTGCCTCTTCGGCCTTGTTTTTGACAGTCACGTGTGATGGATTCCACTCCCTTTGGGAGTAACCTGCATGACAGAGAGAGGCGTCCTTCGAGACAGTGGCAGTTTGACTCGGACTTTAAACAAGTCAGACGAGTTTCTCACTTGAAGAACCTGCTGATCAGGTTTCTCCAACCGATGCAAAGATTAAACGTAGAATGAAACCTCTGTATCGTCATCACGCTACAAAAAGCAGCGTTTGTGGCGAAAACATTCGGTCTGAAATTTACCTGGGGTTTAAAGAAGTTACAGCTTTTTACATCATAAAGTAGCTTGACTTTAGTTTATTATTTCTAATTAAGTAAAATCGACCTATTATGAATGAATTTTGTAGCTCGCATAAATATAATTCAGGATACTTGACTTCATTTAGTTGCTTGAGTGCAACTAATTGCAACAATGGCAAAGAATTAGGTTTTACAGTGTAGCCACAAAGAAACGGCAAGTTTTGTTAAAAAAAAACAAAAAACATGCACAACTTTTAATGACAAAGTTTTAAACAAAAATCAACTTGGATCATTTTGACTTCATTTAGTTGTTTGAGTGCAACTAATTGCAACAATTGCAAAGAATTGGGTTTTACAGTGTAGCCACAAAGAAATGGCAAGTTTTGTTAAAAAAAAACATCCACAGCTTTTTATGACAAAGTTTAAACAATAATCAACTAGGATCATTTTGAAAACAATACATGTGATATCTGATCCTACCACATCAAATTTTAGCTCAATATCTGTCATATTCACTGAGTTATAGCCAATTTTCTGTTTGCTAAGGCTGACTAGCTGTGGCAGCCATCTTGAATTGGATTAAATTCATAGTAAACAATTTGTAAATGATCTCATAATTACTTTCTGACAGTTTCAATAAAATCTACCTAGCAGAGCCAGAGAAACAAAATGTTGCTCTTATTCTGCAACATCTCAAAATAAGGTTTACAAATAGTTTGAACGGTCAATGCCTCCGATAAAATAAATTAATTTACACCAAGGAGTTTAAAATGCTGTTGCGCTTGAGTTGTCACGGTTTGAATGAGAGATAGACCGAAAACAACGCAAACCCTAAGAGCTCACTTTAAAGCGAAGAGTTTTATTAAAGAAACAAGACAGATGTGCTGACGTGAATGCAGTAACTACAAAACTACTTGAGGAGCCACTGAGGTGAACCAGACTGGGCGTGGAAGCCACAATGCCACACTGCAGATAAGGAGACTGGGAGAGTAAATGCACTGGGGCTGGTGAGAAGATTGGAGACAGGTGGCTTGATGGTAACAGGGAACAGGTGAAAGTGGGCGGGGCAGGACAGAGGAGCAGAGGAAAAGTACTGAGAAAATGAACCTAACTGGTGGCCCAGGAACAGAAGTAAACACAAAAGGTCACAAAATAGAAACATGCAAACCCTGAAAGGAATGAACCTAATAAAAACACAAAAGATTTCTGAAATATAACCAAAAAGCGCAGACCCTGCATGCTTAGAGGTAAGACTTAGCTACTAACACACCAAAACTGAGCTCACAATCTGCAGCATTTGCTCCGCTTCTAGTGATTTTTGTGTTTTATGTTTCGTTTCACTCACAAAATTAATTATTTCCAATCGTTAATGCCACACTCAGGCAAAAACATTATTGCACTTATGCTTTTGGAAGCAGACATTAACACTTAAACACAGAAGCTGTGTGGTTTTGTCCACAAAACGTATGTTTGTATGATAAAATCATTGCACACTATTTTTTATTAAACATAACCAACTGAGTTCATTATGACAGAGGAATTGTATGAAATGTTGCTGAATTAGAGCATCAGAAACAGCAATAAGGAATCAGAAAACCTTTTGTTTGATCAATTACAATTTATTTTTCTTCTATAAGTTACAATTTTAGTACAGCTCGTGGCTCTACTGAATTGTACATGGGAACTTTTTATGATTAGAGGTATTATTAATGTGGCTCATGTTTCAGGGTCTGCCCATGCTGTGAAGTTTACAAGTGATGCTCTTTTATTTAATTCAAATGACCTGGTTATTAATAGTTTTGAGTTACTGTATTTCTCTTTTTTCCCCATAACTCACTATTTTTTATTACTGTTCTGCCTTCATTTAATGCAAAAAATGTATACATTTATCAAAAAGAGCCACATACCATGCCATCAATTTATACTTTAGACAGCTGTGCACAAAAACACGCCAACATAAAAACAACTTGAAGTTAATCCTATTGTTTCTTACTGATGTAATCGTTTTGATGATTAGCTACAGCTGAACCTTCTTCCAGACAGAAAAGAGCAGTAAAACAGAACAGAAAGTAAATGTTGGGCATGTGAGTCTGGTTGCTACAACTGTCAGCTCCTCAGAGAGATTACCCATGAAAACTATGATGACTTTGTTGTTCTCTGTGGGGACTCTAATGGCTTTGTGCTTAAACAGTTTGTCACCTTTGTGCTGAAGTCTGCTGCTCGGTGTTTTATCTGTATTAAACCATAAACTATAATCATTCCTCCTCTCAGATGCAGAACTGATGATAATTTGAACATCAGAGCACAAACGTAAAGCCTATAATTCCAGTTCCTCTTTAAATCACACCTTCAGTTGGTGATTATCATTTCAGTTCTGTAATAATGCTCTTGCCACAAACAGAAATGGTAATAAAAAGGGAAGTACAACATTCTAATCTTTTTTTATGGGACATATTAATAATAACCTCCTTTACTTTGTATGTAAGTAGTCTGCATGAATGTTTTAAATCAATGTGAAAGAAATTTGGTTCACTCTTGTCGTCACTTCCTTAAGATTTGTGGATGTTTCTCTACAGAACGCTTGTCTTGATGTATTTTCTTTTCAGCCCTTCGATTGTAGATTTGACAGCATGCTTGAGTTTGTTAACTTAAACCAAACTTTATTTAACAAAGGATCTCATAAATAGCACATACAGTACATTAGTATACAGAGGAGTTGATGGTTAACTGATAAACTGTAAACAAACAGGTTCTGTAGCTGCCCAACGAGCCCAGACCATCATCCATCTACCGCCGTGCATTCTTTCATATGAGGGGTTTGTCCTCTGCAAAGTATGATTAAAGTCTTGTTGTGTGAAGGTTTATGAAGCATTCACACATTTATGATCCATTGTTCTTCCATACATTTTTCTGCATCTTTCTGATTCCACAATTCTTTTTCTATTTTGTAAAATCTTATATCAAAACATTCAGCTCTTTCAGGACAATCCTGCTATCACTTTTGGTATTGGTGCAACTTTAGCTTTTTGGAATATTTAGCTTTTTCTGCCACTTTTTCCCCTCATATAAAATGAATTGAGCTCATTTGACATCCTTCAAACCTTTAGATCAGTTCACAACCTTTTACTGCACCTTTCACATTTTGCTCTGGTTCCGCTTCTTTTAGCTTCCTTGTGCAAATTTAAACTTTTTTCAGCTACTTTCCTCTAATTTCAACTGTTTTTTTCAGTTGCTTTGTGATCCTTTCGGTTTCTTTCTGCTAACTACAACATTTTGGTGCTTCTTCTAACTACTTTCTGCTAATTCTAGCTTGTTATGCTCCTTTCAGCTTATTTCTTCAAGTTTCAGCTTATATTGCTATTTCAGCTACTATTTAGCTGTTTTATGCTAATTTTAGCTTTATCAGCTCATTCCAAATTCTTTGCACAAATTTCAACATTTTTCTGCCTAATTCAACAAAAATGTGCTCTCTCCACTTCCTTCTGGTAACTTAAGCTTCTTTCTGCCTTTTCAGCTACTTTTCAGCTGATTTTTTTTTGCTAATTTCAGCTTTTTTTCTTAGATAATTTCCACTTGTTTGTGCTCATTTCTGCTTCTTTCAGCCTAATTTTGCAAACATGTGTTCTGCTCATTTAAGCTTGTTCTTCCTGTTCAGCTACTTTTTAAAAATTTCTAGCTAATTTCGACTGTTTCCAGATAAATTCTAATTGTTTGTGGTAATCTCTGCTTCTTTCAGTCTAAATAACTTCTTTCTGATAATTTCAGCTTGTTATACTCCTTTCGGATTAACTATGCTCATTTCAGCTTTTTCTGCTATTTCAGCTGTTTTTATGCTACTTTTAGCTTTTCAGCTATTTCCATATTTTTGGGCTCATTTCAGCTCTTTCTGCTTCCTTCTGGTAGTTTCAGCTTCTTTCTACCTTTCGGTTACTTTTCAGCCTTTTTTGTTGCTAATTTTAGCTTCTTTTTTTTGCTAATTTCTTAATTTTTGTGCTAATTTCTGCTTATTTAAACCAGTTCCAGTAAATATGTATTCTTTCTGCTTTCTTCTGCTAATTCAAGCTTGTTCTTCCACTTCAGCTACATTTCAGCATGCTTTTATAGCTGTTTCTCAACAAGTTCTTCTGTGCATTAACAAAGTGCATTTCCTATGAAAATGCACTTTCTCTAGTTAATGTTAAAGTTAATGTCTTGTTGTCACAATCACTTTAGAGATAAATTTTGGTCTTGGACTTTTTGCAATTTCGCTGAGCATCATATAAACTAACTTTGTGGCGAGCTTGACATTCATTAATGATAGGTCTGACATCCTAAATGTTTTTTTTTTAATCATCAAATAATCTGTCCCACTGTAGAATAGTGGAGTCCAGTTTGTTTGGAACTGGTCTTCAAACCCTTCTTAGAGGAAAATATAGCTACCAGTATCTTTCTTTCTTTTAGTGATTTTATGTTCCTGTTTATCTATATACATGTCAAAATACATGCTTTCATAAAATAATATTTGCTAATGATTCATTTCATCGGTGTATTAGATTAACAATTTTTCTCTTATAAAGGGAGCAAGTTTAGTTGTCGCACGTTAACTTCTGCTTTTTTTGCCACGCCTTGTTTGTGTCATACTGTTCACCTGAGGTCACACAGACCTCTATTTACATCTGCCTCAAGCCCATATGATCAGTTTTAAAGATGTCCTAAAACCAAAACGCTGGCATTAAAGCTGTTCTTACCGTCTTAACAAGACTGTCTGTGTGGTACAGATCCAGGTGTGGGACACGGCCGGTCAGGAGAGGTTTCGCACCATCACTCAGAGCTACTACCGCAGTGCTCACGGTGCCATGATCGCCTATGACATCACAAGAGACTCGACCTTTGACTCAGTGAGCCACTGGATCAAGGAGGTGGAGCTTTACGGAGCAGCTAATATTGTTCTGGTGCTCATAGGCAAGTGTGATTTGAACTTTTCTGAAGACTGTGTGTGTTGTGACGGAACAAACAACACCAGCTGTGAAATTTAAACAGCTTCCTGGTTGTCTCCCTTTAGGTAACAAATGTGACCTGGAGAACGAACGTCAAGTTCCCTTTGAGAGAGCCTGCAACCTGGCGAAAGACAGAGGCATCCTAGCTGCTTTGGAAACATCTGCAAAGGTAATCCTCAAAAGTAAAAATAAACACTGCAAAGACCATTTGAAGTTGATGATCTAAAGATTTTCCTCTTTTCAGGAGAGCCAGAACGTGGAAGAAGCCTTTCTGATGATGGCCAGAGAGCTGATGTCTCGTAATGGCCTTCACATCCAGCGGGTCGACTCGGAAAGCTGCAGCTCACCTAGAATTCTCCTCCAAGAAAACACTCGATCGATTGATCTGAACGTAGCCGCCTACAAGCCACCAGAGAAGAAGTCGTGTTGCTGATGCAGAAAAGAAACAATGGCCGATGACTAAAATTAAGAGTTGTTAGTGAATAGGGAAGGAAGTGAAGGACACTATTTATTACAAGCTTTCAGGAAGAGGAATGAAAAGAAGATTGAAAACTACGTAAAGACCTCAAGAACTACAAAAATCTATTAAGGAGTATTGGTCTGTGATCAGTGTTCAAGGAGCATTTAAGTCAAGCGGTCTCCTTCACATCAGGTGCACCTGAACTGTCCTCTACATATTACATCATCTCAAAATGATCAGGACATTGTTGCGATTCTTGTATTTTTTTTTTTACAGTTTAATTGTGGAAAACATAACGCGCCATGTTGTTCCAAAATACCAGCAATCCAAGCCGTGTCAGCACTTTTCTGGCCGCAACGACGTAAAATGAAGGGCAACAAAACAAGCACAGAGCAATTTCTCATCTGTTGACCATTTTCATATGTGCCTTAGATAAAAATGCTTTAAATGCTTTTGGGAACGTTTGTTTTGGTGCCTCTGTGTGGATATTCGATCCTCCTGCAACAATGCGAATTAAAGTGTTTCTGACAACCTGCTACAAGCAAAAACCACTGTGAAATATAAGTTTGATTTTTATTTGAGACAACTGGACATATGTGTTACTTCTGTCATGCATACGTTTCAGTGAATGCAATCAGCTTAAACAAAGAGAATGGATTCAAATGGACCTTTAAGAAGTGATGAGCTTCAAAGGAGAACAAACTGTCTTGAAAACATTAAGTGTTGTTTAAATGCACCGACAAGGCAGGACCTTGAAATGAAACCGTGTTTCTTCATTCATTTGCATGTGGGTTGTATCACAAAACTGGAGCAAACATCCTTAAATCCTTCCAAGTCCAGTAGATGGCACTCCGCTGCAACACATGGTCCATAACTGCAGGTTGGATGCTCATTGTCTTACAGGATGATTTGAAACATGTGTGTGTTTGTGTGTGCTTGAGCAGAAATTGTTAACTCAATTTACATGCAGGCTAGGAGACATAAAAAGTCAAACCAGCAAGTCTAGGATATTATGTTTCCTTGTGTCAGATGCCAAAATAGCAGACTGTAGTGAAACTTAAGCCTTGAAGTCATGAAGTAATCAATCGTTCTGACAAAGATTTGACCATTCTGCATCGCTGTATCCTGATTTTATTAGACAGAACTTGGACTGTATAGATAAAAGATCCACAGTATGATCTGTAAGCTGTTAAAGCATTTTATTCCGTCTAATTCTGCATTTGATTAATATGTCGACTTAGAACAAGTAATTAACTGTCTGAAATGCAACCAAAGGCCAGCTGAAGGTGTAAGGAGGTGGACTGAGCCTTAAGACTTAATGTTCCTATAAGCATCACTTGATTAAATTAGATTACTATGAACAAGCAACATGTTTTACTGATCAGTAACAGTCAGATGTGATCAAAATCTCAGGAAAATATCTGTTTCCTGTCATTATTCAAAACTGAAAGGTCGGATCGTATGCTCATCTTCAATATTTAGTTTTTAAATCAGGTGTCCAACTTTCCAACACATTCATTCAGGAAAAAAAAACAAAAACAATTTTATTTCCAGAAAACTGGCAGACAACACCATACATTAATGTAATAAAGCTCCAAAAGTACCTTTTAGCACATATTTCCTGAATCAACGCGTACTGTAATGGTCAAGAAAAAGCACCTGCAAATGATTGTGTAGATATTTGAAATATTGTCTTCTGATGGGACACCAGAGGTTTGTTCATGAAACAGAGTGGAATGGCTAAAGATAAATAAGTTATAATCTCCTGCTCTTTTGCATGAAAGGATAGTCTGATCAATTTTGAAGTGATATTCTGTTTATCTTTAGTCAATATCGTATCAGCTAGGACATCAGTCCCAGAATACAGAGAAAGGCACAGAAGACTTTGTCCAGGCTAGGCTCATAACCATTGAGGACCTATAAGATAAAATACTAACTACTACAAACTATATGACAGAACATCACTTCATAAATGGCAAAACTATCCCTGTGAAGGTAAACTACTCAAGGTAACATTGCACCAAATGAACTTTGAGGGAAATGTTAATCTTTCAACCCAACTTTTTAAACGCCCAAATAAGCTGGAAATGTTGATAATAGGTGTTTCTCCCCCCCCAAAAAATGTAATTCACATTATGTTTTCTAAACATCAAATCACTTAGTTAACCTTTAAAATATGAGTAGACTTCCATGTCAAATCTTTTGTGTAAATTTCTTCTTAAACCGCATCAGTCGGCTGATCCATTCTAACTCAGCCTGATGATCTCAAATGTGTTGGGCTCCTTCTCTTTCAGGGGCTGTGGAAGACCCTGTCCCTCACCCGTCTCCCCTGTCACCTCCCCTGCCTCGTTGTCTGAACCTCCTTGTGCTCCCTGTTCAGTGTTGTTCCCGTCTGGGTATTTATCCACAGGACACTCCCCGTTGTAGGTTTTGACGTAGTCCTCAACTCGCCAGCCTCTGAACTCGCGCGGCTCCGAGCAGATCAGGCCAGTGTAACGCACGTCGGGGTGGTGCTTGAGCCAGTAGATCAGGTAGTGGATGTTGTAGTCGCAGATCCAGCGGTTGTTCCCCAGCACAAGTTTCCGTAAGAAGTACAGGTCTTCCAAGACGCCGTACTGGAAGTAATGGAGGCTGTTGTTGGACAAATCAAGCTCTCGCAGGTACAACAAGCCTGCAAAAGCAGCTACAAAAGAAATATTCTGTTATTCATCATTTTAATATAATTAGTGACTCATTCATATCCTATTGTATGTACTACTGCATGTCCCTTTGCATGGGTTTAGAACTTGGTCTGATCCTGTTCCTTGAGAGCCACGATCCTGCATGTTTTAGGTTTCTCTGCTTCGACACACCTGATATGGATGAATGGGTAACATGCTTCTGCAGAATCTGAAGAGATAATTGAATCAGTTGTGTTGGAGCAGAGAAACAAGTAAAACATGTAGTAAAGGTGCCCTCAAGGACTACGACTGGACACCCCTGGTTTAGAAGGTTGTAGACTGGCTGTGGACACGTTTGGTCCAGCACATGCAAATTCCTCTGGTTTTGCATAAAACCAAGACACATACACTACCTGTACATATAAAACCTGCACTTCTTGTGTACATCTGAACTAAGTCAGTTGTATGGACTTTGCATGTTTTGCGGTAATTGTACACTTCCTGTATTGCAAATGTATCACACAAGTGTTATTTGTGTGGGCCACAAGTCAGAAGTATATTTGACTTATTACTCATCAGTGTGGTGAGCATCCAGCATATGCAAATTGCATGTAACACAAGGAGTACCAGCATATATGTATATGGGTAGGAACCATTCTGCTGCATATAGATACCATTGCAGAGGGGAAAAAGAATGTTGTTGAGGGTGTTTGACTTCTGCAGAAAGATGATAGAAGCTGAGAAAAGACATGAAGTCATACTGGCATTGCTATTCCTGGAACACTAGCACCGGAACATGAGATGGCAGAGGGGTTGGTGGGTATGCCTATGAAATGACCAGCAAAGGCTCTTTGACCAGTATCACACCCTGTTTCAAGAGTTGGAGAGAGTCACAAGGGGACTTTGTGTTGTACATGCAGATGCCTCCTAATAGGTTTGCAGAACTTTTGTTGAGGTACATACTCGGCATTACCAACATGTGTTTTCCTTGGGCAAATGGTACCATTTTTTCCCACGTCTCAAGTAAGCCAGTCTCTGTTTGGCAAGTACTTTGTTCATACTATTTCTCCAACTTTCCATTGGTTATCATTGGGACGCTTTATCCCAGCTGCAAGCAATCAATCCCTGACCCATGCATGTCTAAAATGCTTGTGGTGGGTTGAGTGTAGCATACAACATTATCATCAGTGGACAGCAGCAGTGCCTGAGGTGGAGAGTGATTTGTGTTAAAAAACACTTTGTAAAACATCACAAGACAGTTGTGCTTCCTTGAAACATCAAAACAAACTTTAAACAAAAGAATATGAGCAGCTGGCATGAACTGATCATTAGTTCAGGACTTAAAGTTGGACTAATTAAGTTTTTGAAAGCTTCCAGGCTTGTCATTAGTCCCAACTTGTGCAAGTTTTTATAGTGGGAGTAATGGGACAGCGGAGACTGTTTCTTGCTGTCCACCAGCCTCTGGCCCAGCTTTGATCTTTACAGTGCGGAAGAATGGGAGGAGGTGGAAGTAAATGGGAGGAGAGGAAATAAAGTTTGTGAAGCATACAGAGATGTCCTCTACCTCCCCTTTCTTATCTCCCGACTCAAAAAGAGCAGCTTTTCCAGATTAACTACTGTTCTTTTGGTTTTCTGAGCCACCATTTTTACCACCCAACACCATGAGTAATCATATATTTTAGCAAAATATCCCATGAATCACTTGATAGATTTTAATGTAACCCTGTCAATCCAATTTAGAGATGGCTGCCACAGTTAAACATTAGTAAACACAAAAATGGATGTAGTTTAGCCTTTTTAACAGGTATCGAGCTAAAATTTAGCTGATAGTTTTCCACAACACACGCTCTAACCACTAACTGATTGAGCAATTATAACTAAAACTTTGGCTTAAACTGATGGTGTCAATCCCTGTCTGTCTGTTAGCAAAATATCTCGTGCACCACTGAATAGTTTTTATTGAAACTCAGAAAAGTGTTATAACTGATTACTTTTGGAGTTCGGCCATTTCAAGATGGCTGCCGCAACTAACGACTGTAGTAAACACAAAAATTCCTATAGCTCAATTTCACAGCTGTACAGCTGAATTTTGGTGTGTTAGTAGTTGACACACATTCCTAGCACATCCTACAAACATTACCAAATCCAACAAGATCATAGTTTAGATTACAGGAGTGTAAAACTCACTTACAAAACGGGGCCAAAATTAAAAGCATTTTCAAACTAAGGGCAAGTTTCAGAATTTACATTAACTTAAGTTAGATCCAACATATTTTTTTTAGTTGCAGTTTCCTTAAAATGAGTTTGATTGGTCTCATTTGACATTTTCTGTTGCACTTTTGACATCGGAATGAAAGATTACTGGAAAAATTCAAGTGGAAAAAAGTATTTTACATTTAAAATATCATCTTGGGGGCCAGATACGTTGTCAACGAGGGCCACATTTGGCCCCCGGGCCTTAAGTTTGACATATGTGGTTTAGAACTTTGGCAAACAGGAAACATGTATTTCTTCAAGGAATGTTTCATATTTTTCATGAAATTTGGAGAAAAAAACGAATTGATCTAATCTAACTTTCTTTTGGTCACATTTCCTAAAAGTTCAAGTTCAAGTTTTGTGTCTTACTAAGTTCATGAGGAACATCTGTCCCCTCATTACAGCTAGAAACTCTGGCAAAATGATTTAGTCTACAAGCCACAACGATCCAGCACAAGGTTTAGCCAAAATCAACTCCCTGTTATAAATAGGCTTGCATCCATTGGTGACAACCCAAGAACCCTTCTGTTGCATTTTCATCCATCTTTTTTTTCTCCTCTCTTGTCATCCACCACATGAAAGGCATAAATAAAACAGCCTCTTTCAAATTCACTCTGAATGTGAGGATGATTAGAAGGAGCTGCGAGGATTGGGACCACGTGGGACCACGGCTATCAGAATTACCCAGGATTTCTTTTTCACTTTACAAATACTTCTAGACACGCTGGGGTGAAGCTGCAGTAGATTGTTTACATGTGTTGATGGGCAATGATGAAGAAAATCCACAAGCTTTTTTTGTTTTGTTGAGGAGGAAGAGGATTTCCCTCCTGGGCAGGAAGACATGAGTCCAGACATCATTAGCTTGGTGTGAGTAATGAACAATCACTTTGTCGTATAATTCCTCACATGCTGAGGCTGAGTGTGTAATCAAAGAGGACTACTAAAGATTGTAAGGCTAAATATTCTAGGTGTTACTTTTGAAGGCACTAATCTGTTGATTTATCCATCACACGTACATTTTGACTTGTATTCAAATGTGATTCAGAAATAATTGCTTTCTTATTATTGGCTTAAACGTTTCAGTGATTCTTTCAACAGTGTCTGTATATCCTGTCTGATGCTGTGACTTCTCAGTCATCGAGCTTATTTCATAAGAGGGCATCTGGACTTGTCTTCAGAGCCTTCAAAACGTTTCCTCTATTAATGATTTATCTATCTTTTGTACGTCCCACAGGCTTTAAACGGACAGTCTGTTCACATTGAAAGTAAAGTTCTGTCAAATAATTATCATTAATGGCTAGCCAGATGAGTGCAAGTTTGTGTTTTTGATTTAAAAGTGAGTTACTTAGTCGAGACACCAGTGACAAACTTAACAAACGGTGTCACGCAAAATGAAGCACAGGACTATGCAAGTGGTGGCCCTGGGCCCAAAATCAGTAAACGCAGTATGGCCTACCAAAAATAAAACGATACATTTTAAATTTAAAAAAGGAAATCTGTGAAAGAAACATTTAAAAAAAAAATGGACATGGAAATACAGGTTAGGTCAGTAGTTCCCAACACTGGTCCCTGAGGAACACCACCAGTTGTTTCCCAGCTTTGAAACACCTGATTTGAATGAATGGGTGCTTAACATGCTTTGGTAGAACTTGAAGAAGTAATAAAATCACTGAATTAGGTGTGTTGGAGCAGGGAAACAACTAAAACATGCAGGATGGCATTCCTCAGGGACCATGGTTGGGAAACACTGGATTTAGATAGTCCATGTTATACAGTTCAGTCCACTTACCAACAAGTTAATATAAAAAAATTAGAGTTTAAATTTTTAATTAAATGTCTATAATGACAATAATGGCCATATGTCTGGCCCCTGAACTGTTGGTTCTCAGGTTTAGCTGATGTAGCATTCTTTCACACTGGAAGAACAATTAACAGGCCCTGCTAGCTGTTAGCCTAGCCCGGAGGATGGCGTTAGCCCAGTTCTGCAAGCTGCAGGAGTCAAGTTACAGTTTTTATTTTTGCCATTTTACCTCTTTGGTTCTCTTTCTTACATAATAATAATTTATTTAGATTTTTGTTTCTGATAGAGAAAATATTATCAATTGTTATTCGTGCTTTTTTCCCCTGCTGGTGGTCAAAAAGTACAAAATTCTGATCTATGGCATCTCGGCTTCAAAATAAATAATTTGCAGGATTACTCTGCCTGTTTATGAGTCATACATCAGGCTCTTTTTTTTATTTTGCAATGGGAAACTGAACATTTCTAGTATTTACAATCTTGGGAAAAAACATCAAGATCGCAGCCCAAGAGTGGATAATCTATTCAACATTTAACAAACAGCTTATGCTCCATTTTGATGTAAATAATAAAGTTTTAGCTCATTTTAGTTGTGTTATTTTTGCCCTCACATGAACCAAGCAGCTCATTTAATGACTTCATGCAGCCTTTTCATGTGGCTAAAAATTGAAGTCTAAATCAGGCTTTCTCATCTGCATGCAGTTAAGCCACTGACATTTTAAAGAAAAGAACAATTTGACACAAAGCTGGAGATAAATTTGTGTTTGCATGATCCAGTCTCTATGCCCATTCAGTTTTACTTCTAAAATGACAGAATGGAGGACTGCTGCGTTACCTGTGTCTATCTGTTGCAGGTTGTTGCTGCTGAGGTTGAGCAACTTGAGGTCTTTGGACAGCAGGAACTGTTTTGGCCTGAGATGTTTGATGCTGTTATTGGACAGATTTATCTTCACTATTTCCGGTGGCAGTTCAGGAGGGATGTGATTTAGATCTGAGGAGGGAGACAGGAAGCAAAAACATTAGCTCTTCGACTCTGAAGGCACGTCCAAGGAGGAAGAAAATGCACGATTCATGATATTTAAACCCAAAATAGTGGAGTATTTGCAAAAGTGTCAAAAAAGTATTTACTTAAATATTACTCCAAAAAACATGCTTTCTGATGATAGATTTATGGTCCTGAAGCAGATGTGCAAAACACACGAGACCTGAACAGACACTGAAATTCAATCTGTCCACATCTTATATGTTTTCAAGATGTTATGTGGGCTGTGTGCAACACTTTAAATTTTTCAAATGGAGCAGAGGAGGACAGCGTGTGCAACAGTGTTTGACTGATGTGCTACAAAAACCTTTTTTTTCTATATTCTTCCAGTGTCACACACTCCATTGTTAATATAAAGTTGAAATGTGACATTTTCTGCTTTTGTCAAAACTCCAAAGATCCTAATGCATTTTTGTTTCAGGTTACATTGTGGGGACCAACTGCTCCTTGTGGAGACTAAAGCCAGGTCCCCATATTAGTAGTTGCCTAGTACCAGTTTACTATTACTAATACTAGGTATGCACTAATAATGGTTAGGTTTAGGGGAAGGCTCAGGGTTAGGCCATAGAAATGAATAGAAGTCCATGCCAAGTCCCCCAAAAATATGTTTACAAGAATGTGTGTGTTTAAGTTAAATGTGGTGCCCTTTTTGAATTCAGGTGACTCTAAAAAGCAGAAAACCTATGCTGTCCTGTTCAGATTATTCCATTAACTCATATGATAACTCAAATTCAGAATTGAATTTAAAATCTTACTTCTAACCTACAAAGCCCTCAACAACCTAGCTCCATCTTATTTTAAAGATCTTATTGCTCCATATTTTCCTAACAGAGCACTTTGTGCTCAGACAGCAGGCTTATTTGCGGTTCCTAGAGTTTTCGAGAGCAGAATGGGAGGAAGATCTTTCAGTTATCAGGGTCCTCTCTTGTGGAACCAACTTCCAGTTTCTGTCCATAAGGCTGACACATTGTCCAGTTTTAAGACTTTCCTTTTTGATAAATCCTATAGTTAGGATTGTTGTTATGCTGCCATAGGCTTAGACCACTAGGAGACAAATTGACCTCATTTCCTTAAATTAATTGTTAAAATGTAATAGTTCTCATTTGATACTATTTCTATCTTAACATGTGAGTCTCAACCTGCCATTGTGTATCTGTTCCTACCAATCCCAGCTTGTCGAAGCAGATGGCCGCTTGTCTCGAGCCTGGATCTGCTAAAGGTTTCTTCCTCATGAGGAAATTTTTCCTTTCCACTGTCGCCTTCATGCTTGCTCAAGATGAGAGTTCTGCGATTAAGTTAAATTCAAAGCAGTCTGCTCATCAGATAATTAACCTTAAGTTATTATTTTTACATGTGAAAGTTTCTGTTCAGTGTCCTGAGATGACTTCTGTTGTGACTTGGCGCTATATAAATTAACTGAACTGAACTGAATTGATATTTTGCTAACAGGACTGACTCTGACACAGGCATAAACATGGCCAGCCATCGCTTTTTGGCAACAAAGTGGTGACATTTTAACAAGCTTGAACACAGAACACTTCTTAAAGCTGTAACCGCACATGTTGAGCATTTAAGATAGGCCGAAGCCAAAAACGACATTTTAATGAGCTAGGAATTAGTGGTTTCTCCAGTCATTAGGCTTATGTCACCTGTCAATGGGAAGGGCAACGTTAGGAACCTGAAAACTGTCGGTCACATGCGCTGAAGCAATCATGTTCCGAGTAGGTGGCCCGTGCAGTTGAGCGTATGTATGTTTAGACTGTGGGTGCTGCTTCAAACACCATCGAAAAGGATTTATTTCTATCCATATTTGAACAAATCCAGCCTATTGTGTATGATCTGTGTGAGAAACATCAATTTGACACGTTTCCTGCATGTATTTATTTTACACAGACTGTCTAACTTCGCTGAAGCAAACACTTACGGAGCTTTTTATGGAGCAGATGTCGTCTTTGTCTACCTGGTTTATTGCCACAGATGTTGCAGTTACCATAAATCATCTGAGAGGACGTCATTAAACACACACACAAACACGCGGTGTGAACACAGATGCAGGAAATGTCACGGTTCCCTTTCCTGTGATGCTGGTGAACGCACAGCAGGCCGAGACGTGCACAATGGGAGGAACATTTTGACGCCGCTTCAGTTTTATGTTCTGAGCTATCCACGGTGAGGACTTGTCCTCTGAGAGGTCCGAAGAGAGAATCCCAGCCGGCCTTTACGTGTACATGTGTCTGCAGCTTTGTCTGAGCAGACCTCCAGCTTTAAAGAATAATAGGAAAAACAGCTGGCACAACAAGCAGAAACTCATATTCCCAGGCTCCTTTTAACAGACTTCCACCTTCGGAGCCAAAAGCAGCATTTTCTTCTGTATAGCGGCGCTCCATCTGTTGTCCTCTGTGTTTTACAGTGAACAGGGATTATCCTCAAAGCGGTGTACTGTAAGACTTGATGTTTCTTCCAGCATGTAAAGTTTCAGAAAAGCAGAACTGATTTTATCATACATGTAATCAGAAGTTGCTGCTTTTGTTTGCTTCCTGAATGCATTTTCAGAAAGTCTTTGGGATATCTGATGATCTAACTGCTTCAGATGAAATGTTAAGCTTATGCTTCAACATATGGTAAAGTATACTTTTACCTATCGGACAGCTGAATGAATGAGGAGGAGAGGGATGATCAGGCGAATGAATTCAAGGTTCAAGGTGACTTTATTGTCATTCGCATCACATGTGGTACATGCGGTGCAACAAAACTGTGTACTCAAGGTCCCAGTTACACCCAAAAATAGCAAAAATATAAAAAGAAACAGTACACAAGAATCTTAGCTATATGCTAAACAATAATAATGTGCCGTATTTTTCGGACTTTAAGGTGCACCGGATTATAAGGCGCATTAAACGAAACTAAAACATTTTGACAGATTTTTGAGCGCCGTGTACCACATACACGTAGCAGGACCAAGACTTTGGAATGAGTTACCTCTGCTTGTCAGACAGGCCCCCGTTTAAAAACCCACTACTATTCGGTAGCTTTCAACACCAGATGATCTGTGTTTGAATCTGTACGCTCCACACTGGTTAGTCTTCATTATCTGCATCGTTTTTATGTCTATATTTCTGATTTACTTCATTTTGTATATTGCTTTGCGTGTTACCTGTTGTTCTGTCTGTACAGCACTTTGGTAGGCCTTGTCGCTATTTTAAGTGCTCTATAAATAAAATGGTATGGTATGGTACATAAAATCGGTTCGAGGTCAGTAAGCTGATAACATCCGAAGTCACTGCAGCATGTTGTTTTTGCAAAAAGATTGTTTTATAAAACTGAAATACAAAAAAGAATTAGATTTGGCTGGTCATTCCCTAGCCATAGTCCTGATAAGAGATGTTTATTTATCAGCCAGCTCAGTTGAGCTCTGTCACAGGTTCATGTCTTTGTGGAATTGAGGGGGTGAGGATGGGGACAGAGTGTCTTTGTTTCCATAATATCCAAGGAGGACAATTTGGAAAGTATGCAAAACAGAGGCTCTGTAAGAGGTTCACAAGGCAAAAGAGCAAAGCAGGGACGGAGCAGAGGAGGATGCATCTGCCTTCCACTGAGAGCAAGCAAGAAGTCATCAGTGCACTGTATTTTGCTGTTTCTGTGCTGCGGTCTTTTTTTGTAACTCTCACACTGTGTCCTAGACGGGACACAGTGTGAGACATGACTTTTTTTTTTTTTTCTCTCCTCGTTTTTCTCTTTTTCTTATCTAAATGAAAAGGACAGTGCTTCCCGAAGGTCGCGGCCTCAGACACCTCCGTCTCCCAATGTCTGTTTGTTTTCTCGGATGGGCTGTACTGAAATGTAATCTCAATGTGCTTCGGTGCAATGACAATAAAGCTGATTCTGATACATTACTAATTCATTTACACAATTTCTCATTAAGTTTCAAAGTAAAAAAAGTTGTAAAGACTAACAAGGTTTTCCATTGTTCCCAGAAGGAATGGGATGGCACTGTGGATGATTTATAGAGACATACGGAGGGACGTAAAAACTCTGAATCTTAATAAAAACTCTGCAGTAAAATGTCTCAGAGTGGTTTTACTATTATCACCTTCTACAATCTATGAAACCAGCAACTAATTGAAAGCAGGTGCTTTATTACATTTTCATGCTTTTATTAAAACTTATTTAACCTTTTATTTATACAGTATTGAGTCACGAGGACTCGTTTTGAAGAGAGACCTGTTTCTTTTAAGCAGCAGAAAAGGAAGTTGTTGTTTTTTACAGTGCTGACATGATTCTTCAAAGCTCAGCTGAATGTGAAGCTGTGCAGTTTGGACGAAAATTTGACATGGATGTTATTTTTTATTAATCACTTCGTGCTGTTTAGGTGACACGACGCACAAAACATACAGAACAGCGTTGTCTAAAAAACACAATCCCTGTTCTGTTTATAGCAAATATATCTGCTATATTTATGAGAATGACATGTTTAGGGGCTAAAAGCCAGATTCTCCTGGCGTAGCTTTCTCTTTAAGATGAATTTGTTAGTTTTTGACCTCATTGTATGAGTTGAGTTTTAGAGCAGTTTGACAGCGTGCACTCAGATGACATCCTGGGCTACCTTCCTATTGTGTAAATGTCCAAGATGAGAAAAGAAGCAGATCGTGTCAGGAATATGGAGCAGTCATCTCATCATAAACATGAGTCACTTTGCTGTTGCATTTTGCAAATAGCTTTAAGTCAAAGTAACTTTAAATAGTCTTTTTTATTATGATTTATGTGTTTCCATTAACCAATTATTTAATGACATGGTGAGCTCAGTCTCAAAAGTCAATTAATCAAAACAAACTCTGTAGGTGAGTTTCTATGCAACAGTATTAATTGAGTTTGTTATAACTGAACACACATGGTGTATTTCTGTAGTGCTTTTCCATATTAAGAATGTTGGTAGAAAACATTTGATCAGA